GGCAGGACAAGGGAGCGGGGTCCGGCTGGGCCGCAGAGACAAGGCTGAGGAAGTGGGGCTAAAACCCCCTCAGAACCCCACTCCGCAACAAAAACGATACCAGGGCCCTTTGGAACTGCTTTGGAAAGAGCTGCAAAGCATCAAGCAACTACCGACCCGCACTGCTCCCCCAGCCCTCGGGATCCCTTTGGGAAAGGGGCGGGAAAAAAAAGGGGAAAAAAGTTCACGCGACAGTCAGGGATGTACTCTGAAGTGGGGCTAAAACCCCCTCAGAACCCCACTCCGCAACAAAAACGATACCAGGGCCCTTTGGAACTGCTTTGGAAAGAGCTGCAAAGCATCAAGCAACTACCGACCCGCACTGCTCCCCCAGCCCTCGGGATCCCTTTGGGAAAGGGGCGGGAAAAAAAAGGGGAAAAAAGTTCACGCGACAGTCAGGGATGTACTCTGTTATTTAAGCAGGTGGTCAAAAAAAAATACAGAAAAGAAGCTTTATTTCTTGTTTCAAATATTACATGCACTTTCAAAAATTAAAACTCTTTATTTAAACATCTCAATAGCATCTCGTCAGTTTTGGAGGCAGCGAAGAATAACAGACATTTTGAAAAGCATTTACAAAAATACATTGCACAAAGTCCTATCTCGCTTTTTTAAAAAATAAGTTAGTGTTATTCAAAATATTCCCACCCCGGCTACCTAATTTCAATTTATACAGGAGAACTCTAATTTTAAATATGTAACCTATAGTATGAAAACACCTGTACACATGTAATCTAGCTCCTCTGCGTAGGCCATAGGTTCTGTCTCTAGCTTAAGTGAAAAAAAGAGTTCTTCACATGGAGACTTTATTTTTTTTTTTATAAACATTCGAGGACTGTTGTGCAACATACATAACTATTCAGAAAACCAGTCAGCAGTCCCACATGGTAACAGTTCGTGTGTTATAAAATGCATTGTAACGGCAAGATAAAAATTCTGCAATACAAGTACATTCCAGGAATCTTTTCCAAAAAGGATCTTCAAGGTGGCAATGCCAAGGGGGACGTCTGCGGTTTCCTCACACTCGACACGGAAGTGTTGTTTTTGGGACTGGTTGTCCGACACCGAGGGAGGTTTCCGGGAGGATCCTGAGACCGCCCGTGTGCAGAGTAGCAAGGTTTGCAGCGTGTGGAAAACACGACTGCGGTATTCTCACAATACAGCATCTACTGAGTGTAACGATGAACCACCTTAAGGAATTCTTCACCCAAAGAGATCACTTTTAACAAATTAAGATCGTTTAACTGCTCTATCCTAAGGTTTACTAAGCAATGTAGCAGGCTTATCAGCTCCAATCCAGTTAGTCAGTACATCAAGGTCGATTTGGAATTAACACCAAAGAAGAACAAGCTGGCCAAGTTGCTATGGTAAAAACCCTTAAAATAACTTAAAGTTATCCCTGACTTTTAGAGCAATCCATGGCCACAAGTTACAGTAAAGCATTCTCAGTCGCTGGTGTTTAAACTAGTTTTGGTTGTGTTAACTTTCCCTGACAGTAGTATTTATCATATTCAACAGGTATCAAAGAAGCCCTTTGGTATCCACCAAAAAGGTCAAAACCAAGGGTCAACTGAAGGACACCTTCAGCCACAGGCAGTGGTTAAAATGTACCACAGTTTTTGGCTCATGGTGCCCAGCTAACAGAAGTATGCAGTTAAGTCCTGGATTTAAAAAAAACAGATTCCTAGTTGCAGAAAGTGTGGTTTATTCTTAAAAAAAAAAAAAAAGCCAACCCCAAAAAACCAAAACCCCTATACATTCATTTGTAATAAAATAGGTGTCACCTGTTTGCCAACTGGGCTTTAGGAACCAGAGCAGTTCGCATGCATTATTTCTCTCAGCATGGACACCAAAGTAAAGCTAACTGGCAATTACAAGCTGAGCATTAGAGCAAGTGAAAATTATTATTTTTTTTTTTTTTATACAGTTCTCTTGACAGTCTTCTGCCTTTATCAGAGGATCAACAGTTCTGCAGTATGTATCTTGCATCCTCGTCCTTTAAAGATTCCAGTGTTCTAGGCTTTCCAGTATATACACATTGAGAACAAAATGTACAACAACAAAACAACCCAAGCTGTAGTGTCGGAGATTATTCGGCAGGTTCCCCATGCACTCTGAACCGATAAAGGCATGTATACACTGCATGGCCCCAGTTAGAAAGAATTCTCAGTTCCACTATTTGGAATGCGTTTTCACTTTTCTCCTGGAGAAGCAAAAAAAGCAGACACACAACCCAGAGTTAGGCTTCTAGTATCAACAGGCGCAACTGAAGTTGCCTTCTTACATTCCTGCAGCCACCACTGTTCATAACTACAGCACGCCCTGGGAGCTTCCTGCCGCGTTGAACAGAACCCCCCTTGCCTTACATCTAGTCGCTGGGGAAGGCAGGCAGGAGCAGCACGAAGCAGGCTCAAGCAGCACGAAGCAGGCTCTTCACCTTCAGCATCTTCACACTGTTTGTGTCCAGATGGCACAAACCTTTCCTCCCCTCTATTTAGACCGTATCTATTTAGGCCACGGGTTTTGAGGCAGATAGGGGGATACTTTCTACCTCAGTTTCTACAGAGCCCAGAGAACGAGGCCTTTTTCCTTCACTACTCATTGGGCACTCCCATAGGAAATACCAGTATCTTTCTCCCGACAGTTTAAATGTTGTCCTCCAGACTTACCATCACTGGAAACATCTGCAGTGGTTCTCCATCTTGATCATAGACATACTGTCCTAGAAGCTTGCCTTCTTCTTGATATTCATCATCTAGACCCTGTAACAACAGGATAAAGACTTTTGCTCCGTAAAATTTGAAATCAAACCCAAACCAGCAGCATGCCTACAGAACGGAGTATCAGCAGACAGCACTCAGAAGTCTTATCAAACCAGAATGTCTCCTGTGTAACTCCATGCTTGTTCAGGCACGGCTCTGTATTTGAGTTTCCTGCACTGCAAATATTTGTGCTATGTTTATATGTTTTCATCATCTCCCTCTAAAAGTGTTTACTACTGTATGAAGCAAGAGAAAATTACTTGCAACACTACTCCTAAACTCAAAGCTCATTAAAATAAAAATAAGCAATTTTAAGAGCAACAACAGAAACAGTTTCTCTTCTTAGCTGTCCTCCCTTAAGTCATTATTTTCCAAAATATGTAACACAAATATTTTTTATGCATACAAACACCAACTTAAGTTCACAGACAGACTTACATATACTGCAAAGTTCCTAGGGGCACTGGTGATGTTTCCTGCTGGTGAAAGTGTTTTTGGTACGTGTTCCACCGTAAAGGCAGTCGGATAGATCTTCATTGACAGTCTAACTACAAGATACCCCTGTGATCCTTTGAAAGCCCAGCAGTTTCCTGGATACATGTCCGGCTAGACAGGAGGAAGGGGGAGAGAACAGGATGGGACACAACAACAACCACCACCACAAGCATTTTGTAATTTTTTTTTTTAGTAATAAAAAGTCGTAATGAATTCTGAATTATTAGGGACAGTCTTAGATAGCTGCTGGCTGGGCTTAAACCACAACAACTAAGCACCACATGCTCACTCCCCCTCATAGGGTAGGGGGAGAAAAAGGAGGAAAAAACCCTCATGGGTTGAGAAAAACAGTTTAGTAAGTAAAGCAGGACAATAGTAAGTGGCAGAATATAATCTGTTTGATAGAACTCTTCAGGAAGACAGCCTGGTCTAGTGGGAGGTGTCCCTGCCCACGGCAGAGGGGTTGGAACTAGAAGGCCTTTGAGGCCTTCCAACCCAAACCATTCTACGATTTTACAATATCCACCTGAACTACCAGCAGTGTTTTGAAGACCCACCTTAAGGTTACTTCTCAACAGGAACCCTCCCAGTGCTCCCGTTTCCCAGAAGTCCAAGGCACCGCCCAAGCCTCCTACAAAGGTCTTCACTAGAGCAGGACTTCAGCAGTGCCCAGGAGCTACCAGCAGAATCCCACTCACGGGAACATGGCTCAGAATACCTGTGCCCCCCAATATGTTACAGACAGAAACATCCAGTATCCAAAAAACCAATCCAAACTACTCAACACAAAGCAACACTGCTGAAATTGTTTACTTGGCTCTTTATTACCTGTATCACCACTCTGGGAGACTGAGAGAAGTACCACAAAGGAACTCCAAAGAGGCTAATTAATGCTGTTTTGGTCTCATGGGTTTCAGAACAGCGAGTACTCAGAATGCTGCCACCTCAAAAGAGATATATCAGGTTAGCAGAAATAATTACTCATTTCTTCCTGAAGACTTAAGGCAGAGATTTGTACAAAGCTTAGTGCATATACTATTTTCTTCACAAAAAACTACTACAGATGTTGTTAAAGTCTAACAGTTTTCTGGGGATACAATGCTTCTATCAAGTTATTTTAAGAACACATTAAAGGGTTTTCATTTAAGAGGGCTGAAAAATACACATTTTTCCCTAGCGAGTTCAGTGGTGTGTACACCCCATACAAACACATCTGTGGTTCTGTTACCCAGAAGAACTATTCTATCCCTGTCCATGCCCAGGCTGATATATAACCCTGTGAACACCACACAGATTGCCGTAGTCTGACGATCAGAACACACAAGGATGCTCTACAAACCTTTAGTCCTCATTTTAAGATTTTTAGTAAATACTATAAATAACATGAACAGTAAAAATGGCATTTCCTCTGCTATTTACCTCCAGATTCCAAGGCAAAATCCACCATACCAATCTTGTCTTGTGAGTAGAGTTTCAGTGCATTGTTTACAATAATCTGTACTTGCTACAGATGTACATGCAGAAGAGAATGGAAAGAGAAAGATTTTAATATAATCAAAGTGATAAAATAATTGATACATACACATCTGTGAAGTTGCAAGCATCTCTTTGAGATGCTGCACTCCACCACACATCTTTGAATATCAAATATCTTTGAATGTCAAGACAGAGGCCATTTTTAAGGCCTGGTTCAAATACACACTGCATCCTGACTGGTGTTTTCCTCAGAAGTTGCATGCTTTCCCCCACCTTCCCAAGACCCTGAGCTGCATTTCTTTGATATACCTGTTTCTTGGGAATTCTTCGGTTTTCAAGATAGCATACTTTGAAAAAACCAAACATGTTCACAACAGGCAACAAGCAATGCTGTAAGAATACACTCGATAAAGCATTTTCTAATTGAAATGGGGAGAACTATAACGTTCCTGACATCTCTTAAAATCATTAACATTTATATTGACAGTCATGCTCCACAAAATGCATAAAAAAGGACTCTACCGTTTTAGTTGAACTTTTGAGAACTGAACTCACTCACCGCTTCTGTGATTCCAGAAATCCCTGCATTAGTCACAGCATTTGTTACTACTTCAGGTGTTAGTTTTTGGTTTGTAACAGACATATGGAGGGTAATATTCTTGAGGATCTGCAACTCTAGATTCTGCAACAAAGTCTGCAGATCACTTTTGCTCACAAAATTGGACGTAAGCCATTGGAGAAGCGAATCAGGAAAGTCTTCATGTTGATCACCAAACAGCATTAGCTTGACAGATTCTTTGACTTGGGCACCTACCTAGTAGAAGCCATTAACAATTATAATAGAAATTACTAGTCTTTATAAACCATTAAGTAATACTATATATACCAGGCACACGTGAAATCAATACATACATTCAGCACTCCACACAAGTCTAGCTTTCATGTGTGTTTTAACTGCGCTGACTTACACTGGAATACCAGACCAGTCAGGAATACCAGACCAGTCAGGTGCGCAGGAGAACATACAGGAAACACTTCACCCGTTTGGTGAACAAGACACACCTCAAAGCCCAGCAAACTGTGCAGTTTGCATTAGCGCTCTGACTAATACTTCAGAATAAAGACGACCAGCTGACTGCAACAGTTCAAAGGCAGCACCACAGCAACTCTAAGGGGAGCGGTGTAGTTGTTAGGCCTAGTTAAGCAAGTCGCTTATCACTCACGGTACACTTTGATTCCATACACAATAGCTAGATCACAATTGAGCATTACCACAAAATGGTATTGTAGTCAAAGTTGATAATCCCGTATCAATACTTACTGTTGTATTTTGTTGGCTACAATCCAGTCAGATCTTATAAAAGGCTTCAAAAGAATTTAAGCATGTTTTTTTTTTAAAACAACTCTCAGATAACAAACCTAACTTGCATTTACATAAGTTTCTTTTCCACGTTGCCATGGGTTAGCAAAATACATTGCTAAGAACAGCAAAGTACTGTATACAGAACTGCTATTGCATCATTTCTTAAATGCAACCCCCCCTGCCATTGTAGAAAACAAGCCCTAAACTCTTGTCTAGTAAAATGTTATGCACTAATGGAAAAATCCACAGTACCGCTAGATAAACCACTACCATTCTTTAAGATTAACACTACCCCCACATTACTCATCGCACTGCATTTCAAGAAAGTTAGCAAACAAAAATCAAGTAGTACCCAGTTTTACCGAAGCAGTTACAGCACCTACTTTTTCATGAATGACATCTATTTTCTCACAACTTGTCTTCATGCTTTCCCCAGTTAACAGCTCCGATTTCATCTGCGACAACTCTAGTTCTAGCTTTTTAACTTTGGACAAGAGTTGAGTATGTTCATCAGCATCTCTGACAAAAACAAGGAGTCAGCAATTAGGACAAAGTAGTTTGAATCATTTCACTGAATTCCAAAGGTGTGAGAATGTACTTGTCTAATACAAAGCGCTTTCCTAGTTCAGTTATTCACCATGATAGACGTTGTGAGCTTGCAGTTCCTTGACGATGTTATTTAAGGCCTACTTAGGATTAATACATTCAAAGCAAAGTATTTTGAAGTTATGAACAAATCCAGTAGTGACGACTTTAGACCACCACCAGGCTGACAACTTAAATTACCCAAATACCCTATATGTTTAAGATTTCTGGAAAACCATTCAAACTTTATTTGCATGAGTTTGCCACTGGTTAGAGCAAGTTTCAGGTTACCTTACTTAAACCAGAATAACTTTAGAGGCAGGTGTTAAACTAAGCTTAAGTAGCAGGTCGCATGTCACCAACAGTGAATCAGTATTCAGTGCATGCTATGGAAAAAAGGTGTCAGCCATCATTCTAAAGCCATTTTACATTTTGATCTAATTTAAATAACATTTCAGCAAGTAAGTGTTTCTTTTCCTCTTCCCAATGGAAGCTACTTAATGAAGTGCTACAGTTTCTATCCCGGTGTTACCTAGTAAGTGAGAGGAAAAGTAGTACAGCTGACAAACCAAAAATCAAGAGATGAAGATCAGAATTGATCAATTCAAGAATTTAAATATAAAGTCTATCAAAAGCAGTTACTGTATACTTCACTACACAATTTGAGGAAAAAGTTTAATGCATTTATAAGAGGATGCTAAATAAACAGCTTTCTCTACTGAAAAAATGTAGTTGTAGGATTGCTCGCATACTGGAAGTGTGCCTTATGTGGACGCTCAGCAGCACAGTTCAAGTCTGGTACAAGACAGCAGAAGCCCTGCTGACACTACAGACCCTTAAGGTCAGTTAACTGACACAAAGAAAAGGATTGTTGTATTTCAAAGAAGAACATGTGTATCGCCATCAGTTAGCATCAGGATTGAAAAAGCAAAATATATTTGAAAAGTGCTTATACCTCACTGTTTTTGCTTTGGCTATGTCAAGCTCCTTCTGGATGTCCTAAAAAGATACAAAAGTTAGTTTTAACATATACAAAGAAACAGAAGTGACAGAAAGAAGATTTTAAAACGAAAGTGACAGGTTTTAGCACCATCTATACAGGACTACGCCCCCACATTTATGTTTGTGCCTCTGTATAAGATTTTTATTATTATATCTAAGCAGAAACTGTGTCACTGGTGAAGTCAATAATTTTTAATCTTTGGACCAAAACACCCTCCAAGAAGGAGGAGCAAGACCACAAACAAATTTTGAGACTTCAAGAATTGTACTAGCAGGAGGACAAGAAGCTGGGGTTTGGAATAGGCAACAAAAAAAAAAGTCTATTTTATCACCGGGTTATAATGAGAGCAAGTTAGCAAAGCTAACTTTCTATACCTTTGATTCAGCAGAGAGTTTTCCAAGAAGGTCTTCCAGAGTCAGGATGCGTAACTCATGCTCTTGATGTAAAGCCAGGAAGTCAGTCTTTAAAAACAGGGAAGAAAAAGGTGGTGGTATTTTCTTTTGGAGTACAAATAGCATAATTAATATTTTCTATAAAGCATAATTTGTATTTCATTCTGTGAGTCCCTAAGTGACTTATCCTACAGGTAGTGTAAGAAATTCTAGAATCTGCAATAAATATAAGTGCCTGATTCAGCAGTAGTAGGGGTTATACACAGGGAAGTTTACCACAAAACCCCTTCTTTGTCACTAGTCCTTCCTATAGTCTTCCTTCTCTGCATGAAAACAGGATAAATCCAGATGCTTTTCAGCAACGAAAGATTTTGTTTTAGACCACCTATCTGGATTAATTCTTTGTCAGCAATAACAAAGGAGGAACAAACGCCAATGACTACTCCCCAGCATTTACTACCTATCAGTTAATTCTGTAACAGAGAAAGAATCCTGAAGTCAAATAGGTAATAATCTGCATTACTAAAACAGAATACTTTGATCCGTACTAGAAAGCATCAATAACTATCTTACCTTTTCCTCCAGTTTCATATCTTTAAGATGTTGACCCACCACATTTTGTATTAGCTTCAATGTTTCACTTTTGTCACTCATCTGGGCAACCTGATCTTGAAGATTATGGAGTAGAAGCATCACTTTGCTGTACTTTTCATCATGGTGATGGCATCTGTCAGACACGAAGGCCATTTGCTTTTCCAGCTCAGTTATACGACCAGAATCAAAGATATTTATGGTATCCTAAGGTATAAATATATATTTTTTAATATGTAAAAATCAAGACATTTATTTACATTACCCTTGTGTATCAAGTAGTTATTGCAAAATGTTGAGGACATGGGAGTTAAGAAGTCTTAAAAGATACGAAAGTTCTTCCCTAGACTGTTCTCCCTTACCTTTGGAGGTTGCACAGAGTGAAAAGAATCCGCCTGTGGTTCACGAACACGAACAGAGTCATCTATTCTCTGTATTCTATCAATTCTCGTCCAGTTCAATGAAGGTAATAATGAAATGAAGCCATCAAACCCCCAGAACCATATACCTAGATCAGAAACAAAAAGCAAAAACGGTGTTCAAGAGAATTCTCCCTTAAGACTGCTTATAGCCACAAATCATCGTCTTGCTTAAGCACGCAAGCTACCTTAAGTTTGCAAGGTTGATGTCACACAGTGGACACTACTCCAGGCTGAATAAAAATCAGCATGAACCAGCTTTAAAGTTGTTAAGTCAAGCACTCAAGAATACCAGGGAACATCCATCAGCACCACTCACAGTTGTAAGGCAGGCAGCTTGCGCTTATACATCATGATATATCCTTAATCTCATACTACTGCTTCCCTGGGACCTAGATCTCATTTACTGATTAAGACAGGCCATGCTCACTGAAGGCAGATGTAAATACTACTTTGTATCTCAATGCAAAATATCTTGCCTTATACCCCACTTACTACATACCACATTACAAAATATCTAATAAAAATTGGGAGAAACTTAGGCTTCTATGGAAACAATCTAGCATTTCACAAACATTACACTCATTTTTGCAATATCTTAGCACGAGGTAGCAGCATTTTCTACACAAGGCAACTTCGTCCTTTCTTATTCTCCCTAGTACAGAGGATTTTGAATCCCCACTATAAGTTTCTGAGAAGCTTCATCTCCTCCCCAAAGTAGCTACAAGTTTTTTACGACGTGCAAAGATATGAAACTGCTTTTCATAAATGGCACAGCACTTTCAGTGAATATTTTAAACTGACTTTGTTTATTTCAAATTAGACAACTGGCCTGGAATATTGTCAACTAACCAGTCTAAATAGCAGTATTTTAAGCAATTAAAGCATGGCCTAGAGCAAAAGAAAGATTTAGGATGAGTCTGTAAAAGAACTTAAGTACACTTTTACGGACATCGACAACAATCAAAGCATCAGTATGCAGCCTACTTTTTATGAGCTGGTTGCTATTCCTATGAAGGGAGGTAAAGAAAAAAGGACTTCAGTGCATTTACTTACTCACCCCCTCTCTCTGTCGAAAGAGCTCTATGAAATTAAATCAAGGGTATTCCTTTCATGGGGAATTCCTTCAAGGGGAAGGCTCACTGACTTGTCAGTACTTTGAAAGTTTGAATTACTGTCCTGTTCACAAACAAACTTGCTTTTTTGCTTCTGCATCTTCTTCATAAACCAGAAGTTCAACTAAAAATGCTATTTTGGAACAGCTGTATTAAGCATACATACATCTGCATTATAACTAAATGACTCACATACCTAGTAGAAACAGGAGTGGGATAAGAAACAGCAACAGCTTGTAGATCTTTGGAAGGCATCTAGAGAAAGAGAGGGGAAAGTTTACAAGAAACAATACATTTATCATATTTTATTGTTTTATATTGTAACTGGGTAAATAATTTGCTCACAAAACGTTTTTTTCTAAGGATACGCACCTTTTAAGAAGAAACACCTTGAGCAAAGACATCAGAGTAACAAGTTGATACCACCCAGTTCTAAGCAACCTGAACATGCCAGAAGCTGCCCTCCCTAGAAGACAAAAAGCAGTAGTGTGAAACGTAATTACTGCAACACGTGTTCAAAGAAACCAAGCAGAGGGACATGCAACTGTGGCCAAGAAAACTTTGCACAGGAAAGAAATGCATGAATACAGGCAACACATGCAGCTTATTAAAATCTAGATATCACAAGTCTGACAGCATTATAACATCAGCTACTCAACAAATACAATAGTCATGCAATAAGATGAAATGCTTATTTGTTATAACAACGCCATCTTGCTGGAAATTCGGTATTAATGCTTGGATCCAAGTTACTATGCACTGAAGACCTTGTTATGTTTCAAGAACTGCACAGATTAGCAGCATCAGTTTTTGCTAAGAAGAATACCGTGACAGAAAGCCACTACCAAACCAAACACACCCCATTATTCTTGAAACCCCGTATTCTGTGCTATTCACACAGTCATTCCCTCACAAAATAGTCTGGTTAGTCTCCCATTATGCCTGTGAACAGAAATATACCCTGTCATTAAGCATACTTTGGTCGATAAAGAAAGTAAAGTAGCACATGCATTTCAAGATACAAAAGCTACAGCATAAGCACAGTTGAATTAGTGTAAGCCACGCACTGCAGATTCCTAGTTTGTCAAAAGAACAGGCAACGCGCACACACAGGGATTAGGATAGTAACCTGGAGAAAGAATGGCCAGCCAAAGTAGAGACAACACCTTCTGAGACACCAGCCATCCTGTTGCTCCCACTGTTCGCAACACGTGAAGCATAAAGTAACCTAGATTATAACAAATTAACTCTATGTGGTAACATACATCAATGAGCTTGAGGTTCATTAGCAGTACATGCAGACATAATTCTCTGCCCCTTACGTTTTCTGTGTAGTTTTAAACCATACCTTTCAGTAATCTACGAACTTGGTTCTTCACTATTTAAAATCAATGCAAGCCACTAATAAATATGAAGCCGAGTAAAACCAAGACAATTTAGAAACAGAATTCTCCCATGTAAAGATAAACATAATGATCAACACTATCTGTGCAGTTAAGACTATCACTTTTCCAAAATAAAGTTTTTTTGTAGTGTGTTTATCTAACAACGCCATGCTAAGTGTAAGACTAGCAAAAAAGTTCTACCATTAAAACAAGTTTTAAGCACATCATTACATGAAAAGCATCTTATTTGCTCTGAATTATACTTTGTTATCTAAATTCATGTGTAGAAGAGGGAACAATTAAAAATTTTAAATCCTAGCAAAAGAATTAAATAATGATGTTTAAGAAATATTGATAAGTAATAGAAAATATTCCCTAATGAAAGTTACAAGCAGTAAATTTTCACTAAATTGAATGTTCCCAAGGATCTTCAGTATGGAAGTACTGAGTCTTTAAAGAAAAAAAAAAAACAAACAAAAAAACCACCACGAAACCAAAACCAACAACAAAATAACCAACGCACTAAAACAAAATGCTGCAACTTAAAGCCCACTGAAGCCAACAATGATTCTATCCAAAACTAGGACTGCTCCTTCTACAGAACAAACTACATAGTATACATTTAGAAAATAATCCTACATGTTTATATTAGCAGGTATGTCTGGGTTAATCTGAGGGATTATAGATATACCAACCCAATATTTTGCAAAGCATTTAGGTGACTGAAGTGTCTCAAATCATTTTCCTTTGCTGAATAAAGAGCACTCAACAGATTCTTGATGCCTCTGTCATTCAAGCTAGGGAACGCTCATCTCACAGGGAAGATTCTATCCCTATACAAGATTCCTGTAAAAATTGACTACCACTAGAACAAAAATAAAAGGTTAAAACCCCTTTATTCAAATAATCTGCATACCAATACCTCATACCTTGCTTTTATTTAAAGGCAGCTCTTCAACCTTTCGGGAGTACAGACCTCCCCAAAAGTGCAACCGATTAACAATCTGACTTATTCTTGCTAACATACAAGGTGTATGCTGTCCCTACACCTTGTTTTGCTAATAGGTAAGCAGTCTGCCAAGCTTGTACAAAAGTCAGTATCAGAGCAAGAAGTCAAACAGGAAAGGTGTTCAGTAAATTAATTTTCTAGACACTTTACACTTCTTTTAATCTACTTTGAAACATGAACGTAAAAAAAAAAGCAACACAAACAATATGAATGATTAACATTGTGAGATTGCAATGCAAAATAAAAGCAAAAGAAAAAAGGTCCAAGTCAACCTGCATAAGAAAAGGTGTGCCAAATGGTCCTTGCTACCCTTTTAGCCCATGAGGATTGCATGTGGTCTGTGGTGTATATTTCAAGATGTTTCTTCCCCTTACAGTCATCACCTGTTGGTTGTGGTAACAGTCGATTAATGGGACAAAGCCAGGATCAAATCAAGATTGTTACAAGATAACTTGAACAAGTCTATTTCATGGTATCAGTCAGCAAACCAAAAACCACTACGCAAACTTCAATGGAATAAAACTTGCTTGGGAAAATATTACAGTACACCAGGCAATCACTGTTCTCCCCCCAAAATATAAGTTGTAAACCAAACATTTACTGTGAGGCTTCCATAGTCATGGGGCATCAGATATTATTATTATTATAGCAACAGCCTGGTGTACAGCCCAAGGCTAGAATACAACATCAATCGTTATACTTACATATTGATTCCTCATTTACGTCAAGATGCCTATCTTCTCTGTAAAACTCCTTTACATTCATGCTTCCACAGTAGTCTGAGTGAGCTGCAACACATTCAAAAAGTATACATGGAATGTAACTCAAGTTCAAAGCCTTTCATATATGCACATTTCAGCTATCGTATCTATATATGCAGATTTTAGCTAAACTGGCTTGGTTCACTATTAAAGCCAGGTTAGCCACAGGTAACCTGAAAAATGATCAAGCAGCCTACTCTGTCCAATCTTATTTTTTCTTAAGTAAGAGAAGGCCTTGTGGTTCAAAAATCTTTCTGCTGCTTTTCAGATAGGGTTTTTTTACTAACTTTGCTAAGTAACAACTCATCAAATCTTAAGTCCTTATCTCCATCATTCTGTCAAATGGGCCAACTGTTACATCGTTGTGTTGATTATACCAGAGACCTTAAAGAGACTGAGAAGAAAGCATTAGTGAGTTATTAGGCACTGAGGCAGAGAGAATGGGAGAGAACAAAGTTTTATTCACACACAAAAATCAGTTACGTTCTGCATATGGTAATTTAACTTCACTCATAGAGCATGTATTATAGAAGAGAAAGCACCAAAGAAGAATCGAGTATTTTCCAGGAAAACAAGATGTGCTTTAGAGTAGTGGAGAGTGATGATGGCAGCTTTAGTTTTGCAAGACAGAGCTAATCAAGCTTTAAGTGCACAGTTGGCGTAAGGGTAACAAGATAGCCCAAACCTAAAGACAAGTTAGGATTTGACACTATCACACCAAGCAGTTTTTAAGTTTTTGTTTGTGGTTTTTGGTTTTTTAAGTTTTTCAATTTAAACATTGCCTTCTACCACTTCCTAGTAAAAATCAACATGTGAATCTTAACTGTAACGCAGATCTCACATGCGTGAATCCTGTTACTTCCAAAACAGAGGGAAGGTATGAAAAGGGTAGCACAGCTGAGATAAATAATAATTAAAAAAGGGAGAAAGACAGGAGCCGGCCAAAAGACAATAGAAAAAGGACACTGTAGTGCCAAAGATGAAGCCCGCAAGAAAAAAAGACCCCAACACACACCCTGTGACTTTGTGTGGAGACCAAGGAAGACAACTGAAAAGGTACCTTTAAATTCATAACCCAGCTTCAGCAAAACCATTTGAAATAGTTGCACTAATAGTGATGCAAAAGATGCTGCAGCATGTTTGACCAAACGCAGAATCTTACTTGTGTAGAAATAAGCTCCTCCTATTGAAAAAAAGTATGAATACAAATTATTCACCTACATAAAGACGTACTTCTGTTCTCTGGTGACCACTTGTTTGTGGAAGAGTGAGAACGAAGCACGGAAAGCCACTGTTTAGCCAGGAGTATGAACTTAAGCAAGTGCAGTTTGAAAAGCCTTGGATGCACTAGATATTACAGCAAAACTTTTGTAAGAACTACACATCCTAGGGAAAACGCCTTCAAGACAGAATGTACAGCTTCAGCAAGAATACCTTTTCTTAGAAAGAATTAAGTACTCGAAGTAGTAATGAATTCCTTGCTTACAGAACTCAACATTTCTCAGTGATGTGAGCACTTCACTGATACCGATGTTGTGGGTCACAGCTCCAGAGAGACAAGCTACATTCTTATTTTGGATTTGAAAGGGTGAGGACTTCCCACCTTCTTCTCTGCCTTTACATTGTTACGCTGGAGGAAGTTACTGCAGTGGTCTGCCTCAAGTGCTACAGAGACACTTCTGAGCCACCGGCACAAAGCTGCAGCAGTATGGGCGACTGCTTTTATAGAATCAGCCACATTCCAAACACCTGCCGTGATTGTGCCCCTTCCCCCGTCCCCCTCAAGTTTAACCTAAAACTACTGGATTAAAGTTCAAAGGGAAGTACACAGATGAGTTCCCTGTAAAATTCTCCTGTGTGAATACTAACTCAGGAGCACAGACAACAGTTTTCATACAGTGTCACTTTTAGTTCATTATGCTAAGCCAACAGAATGCCTACCTGTGCTACACGTTTACCAAAAAGAAGTGCTTGCCTCAAAGCATCTTAAGTCACAAGTTACAGTTCAAACAAACTGACTTCTTACTACTGAAAACATACTCAAGAATATCACACCTACAGAATCCCCAGATTGGTTCCTTTCTAGTTCAAGGCTGCTCAAGAAACAACAACTTCATGGTAACTGAGGACTACCAACAATCAAGAAATTCAAGATGCTATGCAAGAGGCAGGCACAGTCAAGACACTGACGACAACCACCCTCAGAATGGAGATTGCCTTGGAAAGCCACAACTTTATTTGCAGCCGACTCATTTGGTTTTGAGCTTTAGGAATGTAGTCACTGGAAGTCTATTTGGAATCAGTTTTTCCCCTTGGAGTTCAATTTTTCAAGTAGTTGATGTTTAGCTTCTAAAACACTCTAATAAGCTGCCACGGTTAAGTGATGAGGACAAAAACCAACAAAGCATTAAGTAGGAAGGTATAATCTCAGAGATTTCTTGGATAACAGAAGCACTGCAAAGTAACAATTCAGCTCAATCTTGAAAGTTCAAATCATGTAAGAAAAAAAAATAATCAGACTGCATAAGAAAAGTTTCTGTCTGAAAACCCTGACCAAAAGCCTTTTAAGCAGATGCAGATCCAATACCAGATTAGGAAACTCATAATCGTTGCTGGTTGGAACAGCGTATCGTGTTCCAAATCAGTTTGAAAATATAGCTTGTTAGGATACCACGGCATTTTCATTTTGCAATTGTTTCATTCCTACAGCAGCATTGGGAAAAAGTAGATAATTATAATAATTATGTATCAAAAGCTGGTAAGTACATAAAGTTTCAAATGATACAGAAAAAGGTATTTCATATAAGCTGATCTCTAGAATTTAGTTATTGGTAAATTTAGCAGAGTAGTAAAAGTGCTTAAATAACACCACATGGAAAACGCATCAACTAAACCGTATACCATTCTGCTATCCAGGTAAGACAGAAGAGAAAGTAACTTACTAGATACATGTTTCTGGCTCCTGTCCCTGGAGTAAATTCTGGAAGATGGCACACGAGAAGCTGAGTATGCTGTAAGAACCTCCTTCCGTTCAGAAAGCATGCTGCAGTCACTGCAAGTGTAGCCATTGATCATTGTGGTCTGCGTTTCCGCTGCTGCTAGATCACCATTTCCCTGCATCAGTGTAGTATCACCACCTAGCAAATCAAGAGTAAAACATGCAGCACATTGACATCAGTATTGCCATCACTAGTTACCAGTAAACAGAATGCATGTGGAAGGAATAGGAAAGTGTAGTTACCTTTAGGGTCACCTTCATCATCAAGACCTTCAAAGAAAAAAACATAAATTTGGTCGCAAATACAAGGAAGTCCCGTAATCAACTACGATATCTGACATGAATTCAAATTAAAAGTCCCACCAATTTTAAGAGTGCAAAGAAGAGCCACTTTATGATTAGTATTTAACCTATTTTGCTGTCCACCGCATGAACAGACCCATCTATTCAGACATTAATGTAGTAGGGTAACAGTTAGTGAAAAGCATTCTACCACAGAAGCAGCAGACAAAATAATATGAATGACAACTACACCTTTTCTTAGCTCCCATGTGACTTTAAAGCAGCTACTTACAAGCTTACGCTGTTTCTGTTGCTTGGTAACTACTTTGGTACTACTGTATTTTAAGATCCTGTGTTAAGAGCCAGGTAATCTAAAGTTTAGAATGTGTTCTACCAAGATTGAAACAATTCTTTACATTAGGACTCTGGGAAAGTCACAAGCATACTGACTAGAAACAAATAGTCCAAATTTGGTATATAATTAGTTGTTGTTCTTCTACACAACACTTTAAGTAGACAATGCCCATACTTTCCTCTTCAATGAAAAAAGCAGGTTCCAGAAAGGCCAAACCAAGCCAGCCAGCCACACACAAACACCCTCTTAGGAAATCTTGAAGCGCCACTAATTTGAAACTTTCAAATTAAGGTATGCTAAGTTAAAACACATTTCTGCCTATAAACAAACAAGAAAATGCTTTTCTTTTGGCTTTTCAAAGACAAGTTACATGTTTACCATTCTTTAAATAAGGTGCTCTACACACATTTTGAAGAAAGCAATGATAAGAAATAGTTACATCTATACAATCTATGGTGTTGCATCGCAAAATTGTACACATTTGCGCAGCATATTAACTTGACTGTGCAGCGTGTCCTGATGTTTTGCCTATGCAAGTAAATCAGGTTTACAGACTGGACTGTGAATTTCTCCAGTAGGCATCTTAGCAAGCAGTTTTCTATAGAAAAGAGTAAGTACATGCACACATTTGAGGGCAGGATGGAAAAATGGATGGGGAAAAGAGGGAACATGAACATATATGTTTATACACAACAAACTATAAGTGGTTTTCACAATCCAATACGAGCAATAGCAATGATTACCCACCCCAGAAATGATCAACTTCCGTCTGCTCTCGAATCAGAGATTCATCCAAGACAGTGGATACCATTGATGTATCACTGGCATGGCTATTGAAACTGCTTTGGCTAAAAATGGAAGAGCTGGATAGATTTTTCCTTGGCGTTTGTCTTACACTGCCAGATTGTTTATTCATACTTTTGCGTTGCTTCACCGTCCTAGGAAGCCAAGCAAACACAACTAAGACACAGCACTAAAGATGAAAGTTTCTCATCATCTCTCATTTTAAATAAAAAAAACAGTCAAGGTTTTTTAATGCTGACATGACTAGACAGCTCAAATCTGGTTTAAAAGAAAATCCTCACATTCATGCATCTATGCTTCTGCAAAGACTTCATTGCAAACCACACACTGAACATAATTTTCAAAGTATGGCAGTAAACACTAAGAAGAATAAAACAGTAGGTACCTATGTTTGTACTACCGTGTTCAAACAGGAAGCCTCAAGACTCCAACCAATAAATTAACTTGTGATGATAAAAAGTACTTACTTAGAAGACTGTTCTCTGAAGGACATGTTTCCGGCATAAGAGCTGTCATGAAGGGTATCATGTCGTGCATCATCTGATTTACTGAATCCTGCAGCAGCTAACCGTAAACTACGCCGTGACATTCTTGGCGAATCAAATACTGGATCTATTTTGTTTTCAGTCTCGAAATCCAAAGCAGATGAAGAATAACTGGAACTGCAGCAAAATAAGAACAGCAAAGTTACCAGAGGTTAAGAGAAAATTCCCCCAGTAACAAACATGCCCTTCAAGCTAGTCTAAGTTTCCATTAAAAGCAGTTTATCCGGGGCTACGGAGCAATTCCCACAAGACACGCCATGTAGCCCAAATAACTTAGAAGTATGTAGATGTTCAAGGTTCTCTTAAGCAATTCATATTACAAGCTTAACAACTGAAAGCAAATCACAGTTAGAAAGAAACAACCACCATGGAAACCATGTTTGAAGTTGAGCCAGAGCAAGCATTCGCTATCCAGTCTCAGACACATAGTTCTTTTGGGACCAATTTGAGAGAGGAAGCTATTCATGACACAGTTTCTTCACTGCGCCTAGTAGCAAATTAAAAATCATGATACACACTAAATGCAAGGTAAAGATTTATTTACCGTCGAAGTTTTGGTGGGTTTTTTTTTGGTTGTTGTTTGCAAATTCCTTGTTTTGAGAACCAAAGATTCATATGCCACACTACTCAATTTCCATATCCCAATAACTAAGAACTTCCCTCCCTTTGAGATACTTAAAGACTTCCCTTCTTTAGCTACATTAGTTTATAACTAACATTACTTAAAAAAAAAAAAAGTGGTTTTAAAAGATTTCTTAATTTCATGCAAATCATTAGAAATACTTAACTCTGAAAAAATAAAAAAAGGTTTAGTGTCTTTCATCCGTTTTTCCTGTGTTTTACCCTATAGAGGCAAGTTTAGATGTAGACAAGTTTCACATCACCCCAGGAACTCTACTCCACACTTTAACACTTGATTTTCTCAGAACCTCCACGAAAACTTAGAATAAAGGCAAAGCAGCAACACAAGGCAAACACAAACAGATTAAATAGAGGAGTCAGTAAGAAATACATTTACTAAAACAGAAGTTTAGCCTAAAGCAGAATACTTATACTTACAACCAAAGGAAACATTCAGTTGTGTAACTGAGCAGAGCTTGCTGTCACAGGGTATTGCGCAGCAGGAGGCCAGGTCCTAGAACCACTCAGCACTGTGACCCAAAATACCTAAATGCAAAGCGCTCTAGGCCAGCTCTCCTACAGGGCCTGTCCCCTCTTGGGCCACAAGCATATACAGAGCTGTAATAGCATTTATTTCAGTGTTCCTGGGGGTTTAGTTTGTGGTGGTTTTGTTTTTGTTTTGTTTTTTTTTAAAAAAAAAGAGCCAAACAATGTTTTGTTTAGCTCCCTCTCCCCAAAATCCCAAACAAAAACAAGCAAGCAAACTAGGTCTGTACAAGTAGATTCTACTGTGCAATCTGTATTTGAAATGGAAGCTTTCCCTTTAAAAAACGCATATAAACACATATAAAAGGTATTTGTGCAAAAAAAATTTTAATGGAAATAGTTTTCTTACACAAACATTAAATAACCCAGAACATTACAAAGTAATATGATCTGTGTTGTACATTTGTTTAGGTTGGAAAAGACCTTTAAGATCATTGAGTCCAACCTTTAACCTGGCACTACCAAACCCACCGCTAACCCATGTCCCTCAGCACTACAGCTGCCCGTCTTTCAAACACCTCCAGGGATGGCAATTCCACCACTTCCCCAGGCAGCCTGTTCCAGTGCTTGATAACCCTTCCAGTGAAGATTTTTTCCTAATATCCAATTTAAACCTCCCCTGGCACAACCTGAGGCCACTTCCTCTTGTCCTATCGCCTGTTACTTGGGAGAAGAGACTAACACACCCCCCCCATTGCTACAACCTCCTTTCAGGCAGCTGTAGAGGGCGAAAAGGTCCCCCCTCAGCCTCCATGATTAATCTGACATACAAGTAAGTTAACACCAGAATCCCTAGTAGCTACACTTACAATAGCGATTTAATTCTGACAAGGTGGGTGCTTCAGAAGTGAGTTTCTTGATTGCTCCGCAAAGCAAAGCGAAGCGCATAGACAAGACCGTGTCCTAGCATGCAAACTGCATTTCTTTCAGCTAAAAAAAAACCCTAACCCAGACAATGCACTGCAGGAAAGCAGCTAGTTGCTCCAGCAGCAAATGTGCAATCAGCCCCCAGGACCAGACCAGAGCTTGTTCAAAATAACTTCTTCCATCACCCAGAGGTGCACAGATTTGATGGCAGGTCTTCAGCACCACCTGCTTGATCTTATCTGTCTGCCCTGCTAATGCTGCCACGCACAGGGCAGCCCTGTGCGAGGCAGGAGCCTAAGCACAGCTTAAGACAAGCCCAGCATACATTACTGTACATGCTATGCTTATTAATCCTTGCTTACATCTGGGTGAAAAGAGGTGAGGAAATAAGACAGGAGCCTCCTCATGTGAAAACAGACTTAGTCTACATTTGTTTATGTAATTTTTTTAGTTTTCAAAAGTATTGTTTAGACAGCTTGCATTCTGACAGATGTGAATTGAGAATATGGGCTAAATATGACTCTTCCTGTTCATTACAATAGTTTACTATCAAGTCCCTCCCTTAACAGTTGTTTCAGAACTCAGTTTTGCTATTTACACTTGCCACTGTGCATTTGCTTTTCCTCATCTTCATCCAATGTTTCTTACAGATACTCAATTCACAAGAACACAAAGTACACAGGACAAGCTGACAGCTGTGACCAGCGTCAATTTGTTTCTGTTTACGAACACTTGCTGTTAAGTATCTCAATAAGCATTTATATTAGTTTGGGTTGGGTACACATCTTGGAATTGGGCTCTACCATTTAAAAAAAATAAAAAAAGGAAGAAAATCATGGGAGCTTCTCTTGCTCGTACAGGATAACTCTCTTCACACTGAAAGTGAATTACCTGCTCTCTGTCAGAAGGACAGTATCTAGCAGTCTCCTAGCTTCCCATCTCACTTTTCCATGCTTTGGAAAGCAGCCTTTTTTCTTCTAGAGAAAAGATCCCAGTAAACAAAAACCTCTGCCTTTCCTTTCAAAGGACAGAAATGAACTCGTACATTGATGGTACTCCTATCCAATATGTATGGCTAGCAAAAAAACATCTTAAAGGTGCGATGCAATTAGCCTACACTCCTAGAAAACCTACACAAACGGTGCAGACTCTGGTTCCTTCCCCCAGCAAACAGCTCCCGTGGCTGCTGGCAGACCTGCTGACAGGATCTACTCTTACATCCCCAGCTGCTTAGCTATTACCTTGACACCTCCTTCACATGAGCTTCTATAGAAGAAGAATGTCCTAGACTTCAGTGAGTTAATTTTCAAGTTTATTTATAAGTGGAATGAGAACGAGGTCTGCCAATTTTAGCACACCTATAGCTCTGTCTGGAGGACCTTAAGTGTCATTTATTTGATAAGTATTCCTTAGAATGACATGGGCAGTAAAGTTCTTGACTATTCAAGATAATAGATAAACGCAACACATGTACAGAACTATAGCTAAACAGATGTTTTTAACATGGACGCAGGCATACAATCACCATACAAATGTTCATATGTTTTCTGATCAGGGCATTGCTTCTATTAAGTGACCAAGGACATCCCTGTAAGTTCCTTAGCTATTGCTTCCATCAGTCCCAGAACACATGTAAAAAACAAAGGATTTTATTCAACTATTTTGCAGAAAGCTACATCCTGATTTAATGCTCTGACATAGACCTAAAAGAATCCTACGAACTCTAATCAATTTTATCTGTATTTGTGAAGAAAAAGCAGTGTTAAAGGTACCCGAATTGACAAAAACAACACAACTCAAAAGATGACAGTGACTAAAGGAAAGATCAGCCTGAAGACGGGGGTGTAAATTACATGTTGACAAGTGGGTGAGATTCACAAGTTTGACTTGCATTTTGAGGAGGATAAAGGTTATTTAGCTATATCATTTTAATGCTTTTTTGATTTGGGCTGGAGGAGTAAAAACACAAAGCAGAAGCACTACAAACAGTTACGAACACACAGCAATCCCAGTGAGTATTAATACAAATTCTATTAATAGGTCATAACCAACTCTATTAATAGCTTTGTGGTATCTAACTTCACTGTAATTCTTTCTGCAGTGCTATACGCATAAGCCAATTTCTTTAAAGAAACTCACAGACCAATTTTGTGAAGACTGAATTATCAAAGGCAGAAGGAGCCAGATCACAATATAAGCAAAACAAATACAAATGTGGGGCAGAGGAGAAGGAATGAACTTCAGCATGAAAATATTTCTGATAGCAACTCTGCCTAACTCACCCTTTCCTCAGATTCTTCAGATACTGCTTGACCCAAGGCAGGAAGAGCTGCATCAATAATACATGGCATTCTGCACAGATTCAGCAAGCAGACACACAGCGAGAGTGTGCTTAGAAGACTGCAGTTTACTCCCTTGATACCCTGAAAGCAGGCAGCTTACCAAGTAGTTTTCCCCCATTATTTTAGTATTTGGGGCTTCCCAGAATTTTTCAAAAGGAAATTTTCAAAGTGCTTGCTAATCCTTCCTTTCTACTCAAGGAAGAACTACAACAAATAGATTTCAACCTAGTTTAACTATATTTCCCTTTATTAAGTCAGTTATTCAGAAACTGATAGATCTGAATAAGCTGAAGTTTAGTAACATTTTCCTAATACAGTTTAGCACAGCAAAATGGGAAGCCAAGAAGTTGCAAGACATAAAACCCTCCCCGCTTCCACAAAGGCCTCTTCACAAGTTCTCAGTTTCGCAAAACAACAATCTTCATTTCTGTAGGAAGTCAAACACTCCCATTGTCTTCTACACAAACCCCAAAGTCATAATGAACTATCCTCCAGACTTCAAATAGGATTTATCATTCTGCATCTTCCTTTCCTGGCAGGTTAATCTTTGCTCCTGTGGTATTCTTGTTTGCTTCAGTGAGAAACAGCACTCTTGTCCAACAAAATAGTGGGCAAGAAGAAAAAACACAGCCCTGAAGGGTTTTAACCCCAGATTAGTTTAAGCAAGCCATTGAACTTTACTTTGCTAATACTCTTGGAAATGCACATAAAAAAAGAAAATAAAAACCTTAATTTCTTAAGTTAATACTAAAGACATATGATTCCCTCTTGTCTGTGAGAAAGATTGGTTACTGTGGAGAAGATTGTACAGTAGAACGTACTAGTATCATTTCAGACAAATACAACTAAGGAAGAGAAATCAAATTAGATGACAATTTCACACCTTATTTTAAGAAAGATATGCTCTCAGATACCTAACAATCACTGTCTAAACAGCCTGAAGAATCAAAGTCAACATTCCCTACTGTGAGCAATGAAAGTAATCCTCTGTAAAAGAGTTAAAATATTTCAGCCAATCTCTAAGGTACATTTGCAACATAGAGTTATCTAAAAACACTTAGTAATCTAATAGTGAATCTGCTGGCTGATATAAGGCATATAAACCATCTTTCATTGTCCAGCACACCTTTCCTTGAAGTTAGTAAACCCACTTGGCAGTTAGTAGTTAGTCAGTCAAGGTTAGTTAGTACTAACCTTAAAGTCAGTAAACCCACCAACATTTTACCAGTGTTTTTCTAGAAATTCAGGAAAAGTTGCAATTTGCAACATAAAACACATTCCATTTTGCAACACTATTGACATCAGGCTATAGCTAAAAACTCATCATCCCCAACAAAAACTGATGACACTACAGTTTTAGAGTACACAAAAGCAATAATATTGTAAGTTAGTGATCTCTTAATGCTACAGTTTTGCCAACTTCTGCTTTATTGGCAAGTAGTATTCTGCAACCTAAATACTATTTTAATATTAATTAACTACATAATAATGATTTACAGACACAGAATAGAAAAGCAATCTCATATGGCATCCTAATGAGCAAATTTGGTTTTCAAACTTAAAATTAGCTGAACCAATAACTCAGGCTCACTGATGTATACTTGCTTCAAAATACGTCTAGTAACTCAACAACAAGAAAAGCTAGATAGATTATATCAGCAGCCACAATCTGCTCCGTTAATATTAAAAAAACTCAAATGAGCATCACAACATTTATTTTGAATACATAATACAAAAGCTAGCAAACACTAGAGTTGTTTTTAGAACACTGGAGTGATTTAAGACAAACAGTCTAACAATGGTTAATTTCATAAAAAGATACAAGAAAAAGCAAGTTCATTAGAATACAGATTTTACATTCACACAAGCAGTTTTGGTAGAAAAAGTAATCAATATGCGAATTCCAGCCAAGTTCCAGACTAACAGCAGTAAGTGCATATCAATCAGTGTTTTAAAGTGAAAACGCTGCCAAGTCGCAAAAGAAAACATATACAGAAGTTACAAGGCATACCAGAAAACATCCAAGAATTCTGATGACGTATTTATGGAAATAAAACAGCAATTGTAACTAGGTGGAGACTAGTTTATTCATAGCAACTAATAAACACTGAGTCATTATCTTAGTCCTTGTCCTCTTAGTTCAACGTGTATTCTTTCCTCCATTTAGCACGCAGCAGTTATTTTCAAAACAGACTAGATAAAGCATGCTTCTTCAAAGAAGTCTGCTACTTACCATGAAAGCTAAACTCTCCAGAATTAACAACATTCAGAGAACATACGGTTTCTCTACAAGAAGAAAAAGAGTTCTCACCTGAGTGCATATGTATAGCCAGTGTTCTCTGGCAGACAATGGGGAGGAGTGTACGTGTGTAGACGTGAAAAGTCCATGTTGACTGTTTCAAATCATACTGTAAAAGGTGAAAATAAAGCAATGCAATGACTTAAAGTTACATAAAGTCAATGTAGGAGCCCTTGCACTGTTCAGCCTGTGTTAGGAAGTATTGAAATAAAAAAGCTACTGTTACCAGAAATATGGAGCTCTCAGTATTTCAGCAGTATTGCTGCTAGTGCTAGATATCCCTTATCATCACTGCATGTAGCTCAGTCTCTTCCTGACTGCAACTTTCTTTATATTCTATTTTCAGCAATTTCTGAGTTCTCTGGAACATTACTGTAATATGAGCCAAGCTCTTATCACAACTAAACTACAACACTTCCATAAGAACTAAGTTATGCTGGCATCCTAAGCGTAAGGATTTAGAAACAAAACAAAACAACTACGTAGTCATACTTTGAGGTCTCTTCACAGTGAGTTTTGTTTTGAAAGCCTGTTCTCTGCACCAACAAAGCGTAACAGTTGAAACTTGAGAAAGCTTTTACATATAGTCAAATCATTTTACTCTATAACCTTTGAACGGCACCCACTAAGCTGCACAGGAGTTTCTTTCATTTCACATCAAACTGTAATATTTGGTATCGGTTAATTTATTCCTGTCATAAAACACTGAATACACACCCTAGCAGAAGAGCCAACAGCAAAATGACTCACATGGCTAGAATTAGGTACATTTTCCAGAGTGCCATCCACTTCCAAAAAAAAAAAAAAACCCACCAAAAACACAACCAACCACCCAAACCCAACCCATGCTTGTAAAACTTTCCATGTGGTCTCGCAAAGGTTTTATAACTTCAGGAAGGAAAAAAATCGATGTTGTATCAAGAAACTTGCAGAGCTGCACAAGTGACTACCTGCGGTATTATGTACAATTTGACTTTCAAGTTCAAAATATTTGCAAAAAGCCTCAAGTCCTTCTCAGTTTTATCAGCCACAGGAAAAGTTTTGCTTTTCTAGAAAAGATGCTAGTAGGTTATTTGTGGTTAATAAATAGGGATTTGGTTATCCTGGATTTGCATGGTTAGCAAAGCAGAATCCTGCCTATCTTCAGATTATCTATGGTTCCTGTTCCAGCAGCAGTAAAAGATATTCCACACACACAACTGTGTTGACATGCCTAAAGTAAGGTAAAAATACCCCTAGCTGTGCTTTAATTCTCATAATCAAAACATCAACAAGTATGTAATTTTGGAGATGCACTTTGCTATGCTGCAATAGAAGTTTTCATCTGTATAGCTACATATACGTAAGAAACAGACAAAAAGCATGGTGTCACAGGTACAGTGCCTGTAGCCTCCAAATCCTGATGTTAGTAAGGCAGGAAGGTATTTCCATTACCACCGAAGACAGAGTTTCCTTCTTGTTTTTAAAAATCAAAACTTACAGGCTTAAACGTTGCAGCTTTCTGAAAGCAGGCACCTCCCATGCATTTATGGGGTTAACAAAAAATAAGGTCTCTCACTCCTGCTATTTATAATATTAAAAAAACTAGTATGTGCAGAAAGCATTTCCATTAAGTGATCTTTCTCTAAACTTACTTCACTTGTCCCAGAGCCATAATGCTTTCACTGGCTTGTATATAAAATCTGTTGTTTGTTTAGAGGAAGCTTAAAATCAGTAGTGCGGAAGTATTAGCAAAGCTGTCTAATTCTCTTGCTAGAATAAGCAGCAAATACACAGCAACTGCTGCCATACTTTAACAACAAATAAGAACTCATTTTAGGCCATAGGAAACGGGGACCAGAGAATAAGGATTCCTCAGTAATGAAAGTGGAAATACAGTGAATTTCAAGATGAAGAATATTGATAATATCAGATAGCACTTGTCGTAAATAATAACAGAACAGATTTCTCTGGCACATGACTATTGAAATTCAAAACCATGATTAAGGTTGATCTGTTTAAGTTGGTCCATCCCAACAGAAAGACTTTTGAAACCACAAGCCAGGGACATCTCTGTTGAGTTTCCACTGGAGCTGATTTTCACCGCTTAGCACACATCATTTCATCCATAAACCTGCTTTTTAACTGGCAACCCAGTAGCTGATATCATGGCTTTTGACAGCCAGCAATATTTTCCCACGTGGAAAGCGAGGCAATGTGAGTGAGCTTTCAGTAGCTACCCAGCTCCTCCCTCTGCCTCTGCTACCCATAAGGGCAGGGCAGAGGCAGACTTTGAAAAATAACATATTGGCTCAGCTTCTTTCCTGTTCCTTTCCCACCAGTTCTCCATTTACTTGATTTCTAGAGAAATAAAATGCTGGAATTTACATCATATTCCTTATTTGCTAAGGTTTGAAATATATTATTAAGTTAGTATTAGATAAAACACGTACTTGACAATGGCATTGCTAACTGAAAAGCCTTGGAGGTATTTATGCGTAGGTCTATTAATAGCTGGTTTTCATAGCACCAAGTTCTCTAGTAAAGATAACAGGTTTGCCATTTAAACACCAGTAGTTAGAAATCACAACATTTAGGGGCTTGGGTTGATTCACTATCTGATGCTTCAAAATTAATTCACACTCAATGGGAAAAACCTTTACTCAACCTTTCAAAGCAACAAACCAGCCTTAACTGACTTAAGCAGAACTTGAAAATAATCTTCAGAGACAGCCACCACAATTTTCAAAAGCAAGCATTTAAGATTTACTGTGAAACTGGATTTTTTTTTTTTTAACCTGGCTACTAGTTCAATAGCTTAATTTTAGTTGTCCAGTTCTTCAAAACAAAACAAACAACCCAAATTATTTAGAAATATTCTCTGTACTTATTACAGCAGAGCTTTAAAATATGGAACAGTCCAGGGCGGGTAGAGGACAATAGCTCCCTCTAATTTGTTCACTCATGTTTAATAGCACTCCACCTTTCCTATACTATTTCTTCTCATTTATGAAGCGTTCACCTACAACTAGAACAGAAAAAGAGACACGCTAATAAAATATTTTGGAAATTCAAAACCACAAAACTTCCCAGAGAACCTGAGAGGTCAACATAGTATTTAGTTCCAGTTTAAACACTTGTGGGTGCCCAGCTGATTTCTGATTTAGGTACCATAGATCTGCCTGGACTCAGGTTCACATTGGCTTTTGGTACCAGCTTTGCTGCAAGCATTACTGGGCCCAAACTTTAAGTAGCCTTTTTTCCTTCCTCAGAAGCCCATAAACATCTATTTCTAAGTACTAAGGGACATATAGTGAAAGAACTCAGCATGTAGTTGCATATAAAACCTCAAGTAATAAGAGTACATTTATAAGACAACCTAAAGGCAATTAAAGAGATGCATACGTTTCAGCTAGAATGCAAGTGGACACTGGAATGCGCCTCATCTTACAAACTACCTTCCATGTTCCTGCAGAGGAGACAGCTGGATTATTTGCTTTTTTCAGGGAAGCAGAAAACAGCAATCATCTCAAGTATCATCTCTCCTTTGCAATTCAACTGAATCAGCGCTACAATAAATCAGCAGAGCAGAAGGGCAGGAGAAGACACAGATTCTGACTTGGCCAGAACACAAGGAAGCACAGGGACTCCTGTAATCAGTGCAGCAGAATCTACCTTTGCACAAAGCCCCTTGGCTGTCTCCAGGGGACGTGGGCTATGAAGCATCTCAATGACATGAAACCACACCACCACCTCATAAGCCTGTTTATCTGAAAATCGCTTTCAGAATCAGCCAGCCTCAACGAAACCCTAGTACCACTGCAGCAAACTTCCTGGCTTTCAAGGAAGGTGATGCGATGCTCTGCTAGAGGCCTTTAAGCACAGAAGCATCACAAGAGGGGAAGAAGCACCAAATACACGTTGTACATACACTGCAAGCACATGGCAAGGATGAACCCTCACTTACAGTCTCTTTGGGCACATAAATAGACTTCTACCAACATACTATCTAGGTATTTCCTCACAAACACCCGTTGTGACTAAGGAAGCGATAAATCACTATTTCACAAAGAGGACCCTGGGAGAGTAGAAATATTCACCAGGAAGTCTGTTTCTCGATTCTATAATTGAGAAAATTTGCAAGAAAGCACTTTTTACTTTTTACATTACAAGGGGTAATAAAATTATACATTTTAAGTCTTAGAGAGATGTTAGTAGTACTGCTTCAGGTAGAACCTAGTCTAGCCTTATCTTTGAAAGCAAATAAACTAAGTTTAAGTCATTATGATTTAACATACTAATGCCACAAAAGCTAAAGAGACTTCTGGGCAAACTATTAATAAACACTGAAACTGGCACATGCAACCCTGTCAGTTCCTGAGAGCAAGCTATTTTTACTCTTAATGTCAAATTTTATTTTCTACTATTGCTCAGAATAATCAATAAAATTACTTTTTGGTAAAGAAAAAAAAGTAAATATACTCCACGAAGAATGTTTCCACATAACCAATTAACTACTAGTTTAAACAGGCTGAAGAGCAAAGAGCTCCAAGCTAAAACAACATTTTATTAAAACACACAAACACACATTCTTTAAACATTAGTATTCCTCCAAAACAAAACACACAAAAGCAAACAAACAAAAAAATCCCAAGTAATAAAATTCACGTTTTAAACTAGATGATATGATTGAGTATTACAGCAAAGATCCCCAAACAGAGGTGCCAATCAGTAAAGCTACTAAAAAAAAAAAAAAAAAA